AATTAGTTCATCAACCAGCACAATCATGACTCCTACCAGTTCAATAGACAGCACTGTCATCACCAGTACGGCTTCGATAACCAGTACTGTCGCAACATCAACGCCTAAAAAAACAAGCACTGCCACAACGGGAATAAGTTCAACAACCAGCACCGTCCTGACTCCAACCAGTTCAATAACGAGCACTGTCATCACCAGTACGGCTTCGGTAACTAGTACTGTCACAAGATCAACGCCTGTAACAACAAGCACTGTCACAACGGGAATCAGTTCAACAACCAGCACAAGTTCAATAACGAGCACTGTCATCACCAGTACGGGTTCGATAACCAGTACTGTCACAACATCAACGCCTATAACAACAAGCACTGTCGCAACGGGAATCAGTTCAATAACCAGCACAATCATGACTCCCACCAGTTCAATGACCAGCACAGTCATCACCAGTACGGGTTCGATGACCAGTACTGTCACAACATCAGCGCCTTTAACAACAAGCACTGTCACAACGGGAATCAGTTCAGCAACCAGCACAGTCACGACTCCAACCAGTTCAATGATCAGCACCGTCATCACCAGCAGCACTATCACAACGGGAATCAGTTCAACAACCAGCACCGTCCTGACTCCAACCAGTTCAATAACGAGCACTGTCATCACCAGTACGGCTTCGGTAACTAGTACTGTCACAAGATCAACGCCTGTAACAACAAGCACTGTCACAACGGGAAGTAGTTCATCAACCAGCACAATCATGACTCCAACCGGTTCAATAACGAGCAGTGTCATCACTAGTACGGGTTCGATAACCAGTACTGTCACAGCATCAACGCCTATAACAACAAGCACTGTCGCAACGGGAATCAGTTCAACAACGAGCCGTGTCACATCCGGAAGCACTGTGAAAACACCAGTCACCAACACCAGCACTATCATAACCCCCAATAGCTCTACAACTAGTACCGTCACAGAAGGAACTTCTTCTTCAAGCGGCACTGGGATAATTTCCGCCGCTTCAACACCCAGTACAGTCACAACATCAACTGCCCCAATGACAAGCGCAGCCGCAACGGGATTGAGTTCAACAAGTCCTGCCACATCCACAACCACTTCAGCAACATCATTGGCTTCTGGAATCAGCACTGTCATAATGCCGGGCGGTTCGGCAACTACTACGGTTACAACGGCCACTTCCCCAGCCAGCAGCACCGTCATAACTGCCGCCGCTGGAACGACCACTGCACCCACCACAACGACAACCAGTACTGTAACAACAGCAACTTTCGCAGCTGACACCACTGTCACAACTTCGCCCGCTTCCACATCCACCACAGTCACAATAACTACCGGTACTAACTCAAGGGCCGCTGTGACAACTAGCGAGTCAACATCAACTGATTCCGCGTCTACTGCCGCGGCCACATCAGCTACAGCGACGTCCACAATCGGAAGTAACACAACCGCCTATGTGACAACCAGAGAGTCAACATCAACTGATTACGCTTCTACTGCCGCGGCCACATCAGCTACGGCGACGTCCACTATCGGCAGTACCTCAACGGCCACGGTGACAACCAGCGAGTTAACATCAACTGATTCCGCTTCTACTGCCGCGGCCACATCAGCTACAGCAACGTCCACTATCGGCAGTACCTCAACGGCCACTGTGACAACCAGCGAGTTGACATCAACTGATTCCGCTTCTACTGCCGCGGCCACATCAGCTACAGCAACGTCCACCATCGGCAGTACCTCAACGGCCT